GCTCAATATTTAGCATGCAGATCTTCTCTGTCGCTTGGCTGTAAATCTCCTGGAACTTCTCCTCCGTTCTCTTTGCCCTCAGGGTGGTTCTAACACAATCTGCTGCAGATAGCATACCAGACACGGTTTCTGTCTGCTTCTGCAGTGTGCAATTAAGGCACTCCAACTCCTGAATTACTTCAGTGGCTAGCATGAGTCCTAACACTGTCGTACCTCTTCCGAATCTCTCCAGCAGCCCCCTCTTGCAGTCACAACCGTGTTTGAGGGCATCTGTTTGGCCATGTCTCTAAGCTCAGTAGCACTGACTCGTAGCTTGACGTAGCACAGACCGAGAATTGCTGGAGTCTGGTGAGTCCATGCTTGTGGGTTCCCATCTGTTGGACGATAGTAAGGGCTGTGCAGATTGCTAACGGTGTTCCCTGATGCTGCTATTGCAATGTTCTCGACCAAGGTTGTTTTGTATTTTGGCAGACAATTTGTAAGGGACAGGTCCAGCATTTTGGTGGACGCCAATCAAGAGCATGCAGATGTTAGGGATGAGGCGCTTTAACGCAGCGCCTGGGTGACAAGATTTACACAGTGGGCACCACAGTGTACATAGCGCAACAGCCAGTGGGCCTGCATCTCCCTTTAACCCTGCCTGTGGCTCCCTTTCTGGTCGCCCTTTGCCATGTTTGGTGGCCAGTCATATGTTGTCCCACGGCAGACCAGACGCCAGGGAGGAGTTAAGCGGCAGCAACGCGACACATCTGTGGCAACTTTACTATGTTTTCCCCAGTGTGCTTGAGACCTCGTAAAAACCCAAGAAGCCCCTGGGGGACCAGTCATAGTCTACAGTACGCTCATTGACGGCGCTGTTCAGTCCCTTTGGCTGTGTCCCAGTCCGAGGAGATACTGGACTATGTGGGGATCATGCTTGTAAATTGACGTCTCTGCGCCTAATTTATGGTGTTTGCAAATTAGATTTAAGGATTCGATGCTTGTGCGGGGAGACTGGTGGGATCATGTTTCGTTGTACAGTATCTCTCAAGCCGGTAATGGGCTGCACGCTCTATGCAACAGCGTCGGCTCTCGAACCTTCACTTCTGATAGGGTTGGAACTCTATTCCTCCCCTCCGGAGTTGGGCTCAGGTGTGAGGGGCGCGCGGGCAGATGTGGGGATACCTCACAGTCCGCGTGTGTGGGTGCTTCGGTTTGTTGGCCGGTCTATGCCCACGTGGACGCCCCAGACGGGTCGGGGGCCGGCCGCGTGAGAGCCCCTGAGGGTTAGGGTGGGGTGCGGAAGATCGCGCGACTGGTGTGGTGTGTGGCGTT